CGAAGTAACAACGTGAGGTCATTTCCTTATAAACTAATTTACCGAAGTAACAACGTGAGGTCATTTCCTTATAAACTAATTTACCGAAGTAACAACGTGAGGTCACTTAAGGAAAAAGGATGGAGTAGGCAGCAGACTACAGCACGTGGTACGTAGATACGGCAAAAATGATCCAGACAGTACCTGATGGTGCAAGGACGTCACGGCAGGAAGGGTGACCCTCTGAGGAGTACATTTAGCAAAGCCTTTGGAGGCGGGGGCCCGGGGGGCTGGTGCGGCGCCGTCCTCAGAGGCCACGGCTCATCGTGAGCCAATATCGCAGCCCCGCGTTCTGTGCCCTGGTCCCGGGGATGCCTGTAGGACGGCATCAGTCCCTGGTCCCATCCACCGGCAACTTGGTTTGAATTCCATCTCGGGCCTCCAGCTGTTTGGGAATGAACAGCAGGAAGGAAATGCGAACCGTTGTGAAGTCATGTATGTAGCACGAGCGGCCTGACGCGAGTCCCCCCCTGACGTGGAGAAGCAGTGGGGAGACACCCAGCTCGGGGGTGACGCTGTGCAGACGCCAGCAGAACTAGGGCCGGGCCCGCCTTCCCCCGCCCTTCCCAACCCCATAAAGAAAACACAACACGCACGTGGGAGACGCAGACAAGCTTGCGCTGTTACCAAGGGGTCTGCGTTCCCATTAGGGACGAAAATCTAACAGTTTGGGGTCTGGGGTTGAACATTTTCTCACTCATTTCCCCCAGGAGAATCTAGTCACTGGCTACTGCTCCATGTTCCCCCGGGGAGTCCCAGCAACCCCACCAGACAGGAAAAAGAGCTAAACCAACAGGTGGCCTGTGGGATTTGCCTCTAATTAAATCATCTCGGAGGCGGGCATTAACTTACAATCGGACCCAAGCTAAAGCTCGAGCTCACGGGAATCCACGTCACATCAGCCCGTCTCCTTTCTCCTGAGTCTTCCCCTGACGTCTGCTCTCTTCTCTTCTGCCCCTTCCTTTCAGCCCTCAATCTGAGAGTGGTTTCTTAGGAACATGAACATGGGGAGGATACAGTAGCTTCTGGCGCATCCCGCAAGCCTGGTCGCAAAGTCTTGACCACAGGCTGAGGGTGGGCAGGGCCAGCCGCACCAAGCCCGCCCCTCCCCGTGCAGGATGGGCCCTCGGGCACTCAGCACTGCAGGTGCCCAGAATTACCAAATTGAGCTCATCTGACACGTGTTAGTTACAGGATTGCACTTTAACAGGGGGAGGGGAGGGAGCAGAGGAGGTGGGAGCCCCCGCTCCCTGGGGGGCTGAGCCGACCCCTCCCCTCCCCTCCCCGTCTGACCTGGACAGGCAGATAGCCCAGGACGGAGGGGCTGGGTGGAGGTATGAACAAAGAGTCTGGGCTTTGGGGTCCAGCTGGACTGGATTCCAGCTCATTCCCTCTCTCTCTCTCCCTCCCTCCCTCCCTCCCTCTCTCTCCCTC